GGTAGGGGGGGAGGGGGGTGAGTGCCGGTTCAGTAGACCCAGTTGACCGGGGGCGCAGAGGTGGCGTGGGAGAGTGGGCGGGGGTGTAGTCGGGGTGTATGAAAGCTGAGTGGGCGGCTGGGGGAGGTGGGCGGCCTCAGCAAGTGGAGGCACCGCTGCCGTGTATAACAACCCCCTGCCGCTCCCCCCCCTCCATTTCCCCCCCCTCTCCAGGGTCCAGCCGGGGGAGTGGTACGCCCTGCCGCAGTCCCCCCAGCTCTTCAAGCAGATGTTGATGGTGGCGGGAATGGACAGGTACTACCAGATTGCCAGGTGCTTTCGGTGAGTGGGGGCAGGGGAGGGGAGATGAGGGCAGGGGAGGGGAGGGGAGGGGGAATATGTGAAGCAATGTCCGGAAAGAAATCCGACTGCTGGCTGACGTCCAAAGTTGCGAAGATCTGCTGCAGGAGGGGAATCCAAAGAGATAGTCGTCCTCGGCACGCTGACGTCCAGCGTTGCGTCGGAGGGCAAAGGGCTCTGTTACCTAAGAAGTGTCGTAAAAATGGCGGCAACTTCTCGTGGAAGGGAATTCGTGTACCCCCCGATAGTCTGCTGGGGCTCAAAGAACCGCCGCCGCCACCACACGTCGCGCGCTCTTGCTCCCGCAGCAACGTAATTCCAGGTGGTGGTGGTGGTGGTTTTCCGCTCTACGGACTTCTTACCGAAGTAGGGTGTGAGCGACATTTTCATAACTTTACATCTAACCACAGCACTGATGTCGACCGACATCCCAGCAAAGGCCATTGCGCACACAGAGGGAGCGGGAGGGCGGAGTTTGGCAATTTCGGAAGCAGATAGCGGCGAAGTGAAGCCATGTGCGTGTGTATGTGTGTGTATATGTGTGTGTGTGGTGGGCGAATGACCTGACTATATGCGCCTAAGACTGCATTGCGTTGCAATTAGATTCCGGCATAATCTGTGAAATGGTATTATTCATTTCCAAATCTATCAACCCCTCCCCCTCCCCTCCCCCTGCCGACCCACAACCCCAGCGATGAGGACCTGCGTGCGGACCGACAGCCCGAGTTCACTCAACTGGATTTGGAGGTGGCCTTCATGGACGATGTGGCGCTCCAAGGCCTTATGGAGCAACTGGTGGCGCAGATATTTAAGCAGGTAACAAACAAGTATACTTTCCAGGCTGGCTGTGTGCTTGCCCTTGCCGACTTCTAGGGTTATCCAAAACCCCCGGCCTCGCGCAACCTCCCTCCCACCTTCCCGATATCAACGGCCCGCACCCCGCCACCGCCAAAACAGCTGCTGGGTGTGGCGCTGACGACGCCCTTCCGGCGGATGTCGTACGCTGAGGCGATGGACAAGTACGGCAGTGACAAACCCGACCTTCGATACGGTCTGGAGTTTGTCAACCTGTCCGAGGTCGTTCGGGAGTGCGGCTTCAAGTAGGTGGAGGTCCGGGTGGGGGTGGGGTTGGGGGGTGGGGGGAAGTGTGTCGAGTGAGCGACACAGCGGGAGAGGGGTGGAGGACCCTCCCTGAAGTCGCCCCCGAATGACACTCGGAGGTTCCCCGACCAAAACCCCGTCCATGTCGGTTTGGTGAAATACCTCCCCGCCCCGTTTCCGAGTGTGGCCAGCGGTCAGGCAGCCTTTCTCTCTACTCCCCCCTCAAACCCAACCCTCAACACGGTACTGCATGTGTACTGCTGTCGTACAGGGTGTTTTCCGGGGCGGTAGCTGACGGCGGGGTGGTGAAGGCCATCCGGGTGCCCGACGGAAAGCGCATCAGCAACACCCGGATCAAGCCCCGGGGGGATATCGCCAATGAGGCCGTGGCGGCGGGTGAGGCGGGCGGCGCGGGAGAGTTGGGGGCCGGGGGGAGGGGCAGCAGAGCAGGGGCGGAAAGGGGAAAGAGGGGGGGATGGGGCGATTAACCTCCTTTACATACACACACACTCTCTCTTGCACATATTTCCCTCTCTCTACCCCTCTTCCTCCTCGTCCCCCCCCCAGGCTCAGCAGGTCTCGCGAGTATCCGCGTGAGTGCGGACGGCTCTCTGGACGCGGCTAAGGCCATCAAGGAGGGGCTGAGCGGTCAGCAGGCGGAGCAGCTGCTAAGGGAGACGGGGGCTGGACCGGTGGGGGGGTTGGGCGGGTGTGTGTGGGGTGGGTGACGGGTGCAGCTGCTGGTGGTGGGGGGGAGGGGGTCTGTAAGGAGCAGCGGATGGGTTGGATGGATGGGTGTGGGTGGTTGTGGGTGGGTGGGTGTGGGTGTGGGGGGTTTTGGGTGGGTGTTTGCGGGTTAGGGAGGGGCAAGTGTGTGTGTATGCATGTATGGGGGGATGAGGGAGGGAAGAGGTGGATAGAAAGGCTCGCGCCGAAGGGCTGCGGCATTGGGGGCTGTGTGTGTGAGGGGGGGGTAAGAGGGTGTCTGGGGCGTGGCGGGGTATTGGGGAATTTAAATGCGGCGCCATCCTTCACCTCCTCTCCCCGCCAGTCACTAACCTATCATCCCCGCTCTCTCTCTCTCTCTCCCTTCCCACTCCCCTCTCCCTCCTGCCGTACAAACACCTCCTCTTCAACCCCCGGGCCAGGGCGACCTGCTGCTACTGGCTGCCGGTCCCACAGATGTGGTGAATAGGGCCCTGGACCGAGTACGACAGCTGCTGGGTAAGGAGCTGGGCCTTATCAAGGTGTGCGAGGGTTGTGGGGATGGGATGGGCTACTGGGGCGGGGTTTGTGTTGGAGGGAGAGGGGGAACGCGGGGGGGGAGGTGTGGTGCCGGTGGAAAGGGTAGGAGTTCGGGGAGCTAGGAGCAGCCGTACGGCACTTGATTGCGGATTTCGACCCGATCCCGATCGCAGTGCTCCGCCCGGCATCTCACTTCTCATCGCGTTCGCTTCGATCGACAACCGCCTCGCTCCGGGTAACAACATCCCCCTCGCTCTCCGGCCAGTTTGGTGCCTCCCCCTATTTTCCACTTTCGAGCTTTGTCGGTTTATCGCGTTGCGTCGGTCGGCTAGCCGGACTAGGATAGTCGGGTCGGTCGGGTCGGTCGCGCGATTTTTTGGGGGGTTGGGAGGAGCACTTGCATATCACCAGCTTCTTATTACCAGCTTATCAGCCAGTTCTTGGCCAAACCTCGTCAATGCCGCCGCCAGGCCGGCGGCAAACTTTATTCCAGCTTCACGTCAGCAGGTTTTTACTACTTTTCCGCCGCCTCTACACCTGGCATTACTTCTTTATGGCTTGGCTTTACTGCTTTTCTTCTGCGCTTATTTAGTCTTGGCGGCTAGGTAGGTAGTTTTCCGACATCTTCTTCACTACGTCATCCCGAGGGCGCCGACTTCAGGAACGCCTTTTGGTCAGTTCTACGTCTGGTACACTCTTGCCCTGGCCGCAGCTTCACTCGTTCGTGGTTCGTCTTCCCCCCCCCCCCACACACACACACCAAACCCTCATGCCGCCCATCAGCACATCGGCTTCCACCTTCCACCCGACCGCCTCTTCACCTCTATACTCTCCCTTTATCCTATGACCCTGTGTGTGTATGTGTATGTCGTACATCAGCCCGGCGACCACTCGTTGTTGTGGGTGGTGGACTTCCCAATGTTCGAGTACAACCCCGAGGAGAAGCGGTACCAGGTGGGGGGGGGGCCGGGAGGAGGGGGGGTACCCGGGGTGAGGGGAGGGGGGGTACCCGGGGTGAGGGGAGGGGGGGTACCCGGGGGGAGGGGAGGGGGGGTACCCGGGGTGAGGGGAGGGGGGGTACCCCGGGGTGAGGGGAGGGGGGGTACCCGGGGGGAGGGGAGGGGGGGTACCCCGGGGTGAGGGGAGGGGGGGTACCCGGGGTGAGGGGAGGGGGGGGTCACCCCGGGTGAGGGGAGGGGGGGTACCCGGGGTGAAAGGAAGGGGGGGTGAAGGGAGGGGGGGGGATTTTCCGGAGGGGGGGAACCACTGGGGGCGGTCTGGGGCGTCCACAAACCCCTGCTTGAAGGTTGTGGAGCTTTGCCGTTTGTATTGTTTCCTCCTCGAATCCCGTTGGATTCCCAATCGCATTTTTATTCCCCCATTTGTCCCTCCCCCCCACCGGAATTATATCCCGTGTTCTCCCAAACACCCAATATANCCACAAGGGAATTGAAAAAAAGGGGCCTTCACCGGGTTACAGGAAAGAACTATGGACCTGAGGCCTTTACTCTTATAATTCCCCCCCCCTTTGAAGGGCCATGGGTCAACTAAAAAAATTTTAGGTTAAAAGTTTCTCATCAAATCAACGAAGGGCTCTTTTTTTTCCCCCCCGTAGCCCAATTTTAGCGGAGTAAAAAAGGGCATCACTCGCTCCTTCGCCTTCAGTAAAGAGACCTTTCAAACAGACATGTGTCGCGCCAAAAATAATCTTTAGGCCCATACTCTCTTATAAACATATTAAAAATTCTTCCATAAAATAATCTCCGACCCCCGAATAAAACCCCATACCAATTGCGCTTGCGATGTAAA